AGAATAATAATAACTAAAAATAACTAAGATAATATTAATAAAATCTACTCTAAAAATCTACTTTGTAACAATATATTAAACAATTAATAATACAATATTTTATAGTATACCAAAAGGCATGCCATAGCACAAATTTTGACAAAAGGCATGCCTGTAACATGTCAAATTTTTTTTTGTGCCAGACACCCTAACTGGGCAAAATATCTTAAATCAGCACCTATTTTAAAAGTAACCAAATTTAAAACAAAATACTAAATTTTAATTGTTAATATCTTAAAATTTTATTGGTTTTAAAATATTGTTTTAATATATGTGCGGTCAAATTTTTATTTTATAAATTTAAAAAGTATCAATATTGTCAATTTATTAAGCTATATCTTTTATTTTTTAAAAATTACTTAGTTGCTGGTTTAAGGCGTCTTGCTGCACGTATAATTTAACGGGTCGGGCTTGGATCGATACCCAAACCCTAGCCATAAATATATTCGTGTAACCATAGCATTTTCATCCCATACTTCACAAATTTCATTAAAAACTAATTCTATTGAACAATTTTATTCTTCGGATCATTATGTGGACATTGCCACGGTGTTCTTTAACTTTCTTTAAAAAGAAAGAATGGAGATCATTGCCTGAGAAAAAAAATTCTCAAGTTCACTAGATTAACCTTTCAACTCCATTAAGGAACCGATAACTAGCACCGTTTGGTACAAATGGAAAGTCGGGCCGACAGGGTTGATACATAAAACAAATAACGTTTTAAGAAAAGCCAAATATTTTTAACTAGGAATCTGCAATCCGGGAAGGTGTCCATGCCTAATAACAAAGCATAGGCAAGGCACAGGCACAAAATCTTGGGCATGGGTATAGGTACAGACACAAAAATTTGGCACAGATATGGACACAGGCAAAAAAATTTGGCACGGATACAAGAACTTTTGTAAGTATGAATGTAAAAATGCCATAGTTGCCTGCCACATTTGTGCCTGTGCCCTCACAGTGCCTATAATTTGTCTAGAAATTTTTCATCTAGGGATGCAGGTGCGGCTCAAAGCACCACTAGTACCTTACCTTGGCATTTGCAGATCCCTAATTTAACATAGACTAAAACAATTTAGCTAACAACTGTACTTCATTCCCCGAACACGTAATTTTAAAGCATTTAGGGTTTGATACGACCTTTAAAATTACAAGTGATTTTTAATATTAATAATTTAAACATTAAAATTTAAACTTTACAAGATGTATTAAGTTTTATAAAATAATGTTACAATGAAATTAATGTAATTATAATTTTCTACTAATTCTATTAATGAACATAATCCGAGACAAAAAATTTTGACATAAATGCTTCATAAGTATTACAATTGGGATTTTTATGCCGCCCCGTTATTAAACTAATATCTGATGCACGTTCCATATATGAATTGTGACACATTGTTATATTCGAACTATGAATATTACGCAAACTGTTTCGAAATGCTTGAACCGCTGTTTGTCGTACCAAAGGACCTAACACATTTTTTGAAACTACCATACCATGCAATAATGGCCCAAATGGAGGGATTTTGTTATCGCGATAAATGTCTATGCTAAACAGGCCATTAGGCAAAGGAGTAACAATAATTTGTGCGTTGCCAAAATCACCTCCAATAGTCGTCTTACGATAATCTCTGCTATGCTCGTTAAATACTATGTGAACATGATCATTACCTATGTGACGTTTCTGGTAATGAAAAAGTAATGTTAGCATATGAAATGAAATATGACGCAAAGCTAATAATAACATTACTTTTCTTAGTTGCTTAGGATCAGTTAAATCGGTTGGCATCTTTGTTACATCATGGAAAATTATTTCGAGTGTCGAAGTGCAATAATAAATTGAGGTAAGACCATTGGTTGCATTTCGTTCTAATCCACCAAGATATCCAGGATGTGTCGCAAGCTCGATTTCCCATCCAAGACTCTCCACAAATTCATCATATAAAGGGCTACCATTCGTATTATGTAAAATACTTTTTTCGTTTTCTTGACCAGGACCAACATACAAGAGTGCGACCTTAATTACCTCACGAGCATGCTTCTTGTCTAAAAAGCGTATATCACGAAATAAATTAGATGATTTATTTAACATGCAGATGGAATCGTCTTTCAATGCTTCAGGATCAAGCCATCCAAAATGACTTAAAAATAATCGACAAAGTTGATAAGGTTCTGTAGGTTTTTCAGCTTCAGGGGGCAGCACCGGAATAAATGACTTTGATAGTGAAAAATCTGCCCCTAGCGATAAGTAGGATGTCGACCGAGTATATAGTGGATTTCGCGAACGCCGTTTGACCGCATGTCGACTTTCACGTTCTTGAAAGATATTGTTTCTAAGGGAGATGAAATTATCATACCATAATTTTCTTAATAAAAAAAATAAAACCCATTGAGCACGCTATTAGCTGCAAAAAAAAAAAAAAAAAAAAAAAAAAATTAAAATGTAAATTAGGAGCTTACGCTTGGCCATCTATTGAGTTGTCATAAAATGTTTCTTCCTGTATGTGCCGGTCTAATTGACCTTCAATTTGAGATAAACCATTTACAACATTTAATGATGTGCTAGGTAAAACCTCTTCATCATTTGTATATGATGATTGTTGGTCAATACTTTATTTAAAGCGATTATAATAGTTAATAAGCTTGAATACAATTGGTAAGATTTTATAATAATGAATTAACTTACTATTGGAGTAGATTATCCAACATATTTACATTTTCAGACCTGCTTGCTTCAGTCCATACAGGCAATCGATTTTTATCGTTAAAAAAATTTCCTGATCGATAGCGTGATTTTATCTTTGGCGATGAGTTATTGCTGGCAAAGAAAAAAAAAAAAAAAAAAAAAAAAAAACAGAAATCAATATAAACATGCAATTTTTATTTATGGAACGTAAATACTTAAAAATATAAAAAAAACATACGACTTAGGCTTGTTATTTGACTCAACTTTGATATCAGGTCTCAAAATTATATGGTCAATATTTTCGGCATTTTTATGCGCATTTTCTCTCTCAGAATATTTATCATCAAAAGATGCTTTATAAAATAAACTAGAATCCCACGCGTATCGGCCAGAAAAGTCTCGTATAATCATTCGAGATACTATACAAACAGGTTATATTCATTTGAGAAAGGTGCTAATACTATAACAAAACATGTATACATATATCTTAAAATACCTGGTGCGTTATCTCCTGGTATTTCAACTAAAGTAATTATTGTCGTATCATTAAAAGAAAAATAATGGTAATTATCAGATGCCTCATCATCTTTGGTGTCACATCCTAATGGTCC